ATATATAAAGAATACAAGCGGATAAATCGGTTAAATAACTAATCCAATTAAAAAAAACTAATCCAATCAAACAAGCTATCAAGTCCAATTTTTTTTTGGATTTTGTTAATTAATAAAATTTGATCATATAATATTAATTAAATAATATAATATTTAAATTTTAAAATAATTCAAAAAATACAAAATGAATTCATGCGGGTCACAAAAGGGTTTCCGAAGTAAAAATAAAAAATAAAAATTGCTAGTATTAATTTTGCCGTTAGACATTAATACTATATATGCCCATTGCATGAACTATAAGTAATGTAGTAAAACAATGTTACAGTATTGAACTTTGTCAAAAACTCATCCTCCCATCTTCATCCTCTTCTCACAACCCTCGTCTGCAAACTTTGGGACGCCTTTCATCTTCCACAACATTAGAGATCTGCAAATAAATGTAGAGGAATGTATATATATGTATTATGTAATGTGGCCATGATTCTGCATACACCAAAAGCCTGAACTAGCTATGCAGATTAAAACACTTATAGTATATTACTCTGTTTTCAATTTTCTTTATTTTTTTTTTCAATTGCTTAAGGAAAGTAAATGTGACATTAAAAGGGTCGGAACTTAATTAGTTCAACAATGAAATCAAATTTAAGAGACAAAAATACTAAGGTCAGAGAGACAGAGCCATAATTAAAAGACAAGGAGGCCAACTACAAAATTAAATGTCGTCAATTATCAATTTTATATCCATTTGAAATATTTTTTTTATGAATTTATAATAAAATTTTGTATTTACATTAATCATTAAACAGAACTATATTCTAAATATTTCTTAATTAAAATGAATTATTACTCACAATATATAATTTATTTAAATGAAAGTAGTTAATACAATTATCTCCGCAATGAATATTTGAAAAGAAAAATAAAATATTTATGTGAATAAAACGCCACTACCTTTACAATAAAAACTATAAAATAATAGAAATAGAACATTAATTAAAAATTAACAAAGAAATAAATTACACATAATTAAATTTGTTTTAAAAATTAGAACATATTGTCTTTCAACATATTTTTTTTATGAAACTAAAGGAAAACACTAACCTGGGTATTTCCCCGAGAGTTGTTACCACTATTCTTGGTAGACTTGTCCCCATCTGGTTTCCAGTTAGCCACAACTTCAGAAATGTTGGGAAGATTATTCATCAAATTAAATAATTGGGCCCTGCCATCAATAAAAGATTTATATATATCATCATGGAAAGGTAAAATTTAAAAGACTTAATGGATAGAGAACCACAACGAACATAAATTATATGTTAATTAACAAGAAAGGTAGATTGTACCTTTCATTGCTGTTAAGGCTAAATCCAAAGTAATAGGCTACGCAAACCAACCACGAATCACTATGCATGGCAACCATACGAAACCAATCACTACGGTTAATGCCTTCCCTACCAAAATTGATTCCAAGAGCAGGCTCAGGGATATCCGTCGGAACTTGCTCCTCTGGCAAACATACTTCCCATGATTCATCCGAATGTCCATATAGGCACAAGTTTTCCTTTTCTTGAAGAAAACAAACACACCCAAAACCTCAAATTTTAGTGAAAGGAGAAGGACAAAACATGATACTATTCAATAATTACAAAACCATATCTTTTTGGATAAAGAAATATTTAAATGGATATTTCATGACTCCACACAATTCTTTAAGAACTTTCAATGGTATTACAAATTATTTTTCTTTTTTCTTTTTAACATAAATCTGCATGAAAAGAATAAAGTATAAGAGAAATTATTTGATTTGTGTTACCCTTTAGGGTATTACAAAACCATGCAAAATAATAATTTTAATTTTATCCGAAAAATAAAACATTACAGATAAATAAGTCCTAATCTTTTTCGATTAACAAGATCCAAACAAGAAAAAAAGACATATTATCCTTTACCTGGATCACAGAGATCGTAAACTTGATCGGCATCTGAGAGAAGAAAAAGAGAGGAAAATGAATACTCAGAGAAGTGAAGAAAGAGAGATAGGCATTGAAAAAAGAAGAGTAGTACCGCGAGTAAGAGCGTTAATAAGAGCAGTTCTTCTGCCCCTATAGTCTTTGAAGATCTCTTTAACAGTGCGGGGTTTGGGAGCCATGTCCACCACCGAATTTAGTAAGCCAAAGGGTTTGTGGAAGCTGATACTGTTACTGATACAGAAAAGAAACTTGCAGTGTGAAAAAGAGAGAGAGAATTCGCATGCATGGTAGCAAAAGACTAGTATGTTATGCTATATATATAGAGAAGGTAGGGTGGTTAGTTTTTCGTATCTTATATTTTGTAAAGAGATCTTTTTATCTTATGAGCATGTTGTATCAAACATTATATTATCTTAAAATAAAATCGTTAAGATTTAAACTTAAATAACAAAAATAATATCGTTATTTGTATCTAAACAGTATCTTGAAAAATTGAAATTAATATAACAACTTTCTTTAAAACTAAATTATCTTCAATCAAATTAATCATATTGATCAGGTGTGTTTTTAAATAAAGTAAGCCAGAAATATACTGTTCAAACATTATCCACGTGAATTTTAAATATAATTTATACATTCAAATATAATATTTATTTAAATAATCAATTCTTTATTTTTTATATATTAAATATGTTTGCCTTTTTTTTTTTTGTATGAAAGCGATTTTATGATATTTTGTCCTTTGAGAAAAGAGCTTTTAAAGACATTTTTTGATTTTTTATCTACTTTAATATTTATTTATTATAATTATTTGAGTTAAATTTTAATATTTTAAAATAAATTATTGATAAATAAAAAATCACGCTTCAATATAAATTATCTAAATCATT